AGTCAGATCAGTGAATTCTATCTTGCGGGTCAGACCCAAAGGCACAGTGAAAAGGTGCTTCAGGGTGCGGCTGTGTGCACATATATCTGCATACATATTGCCTAGGGCTAGAAAAACCGATGGCACTGTAGACCAGTGGAGGATTTGATACACATGTAGACATAGTGCCATAAATGGATATAGAAATGTCTCACAAACCATTGCCACTGAGTCAATTCTGACTAAGTCTTTATGGGGAGCAGACGGCCATGACTTTCTCTCGTGGAGAGGCGGACCTTGTAGCTCAATGGGCAGCCCATTACACACCCCCCAACAACCAAACTCACTGGGGTTGAGTCCATACCAAACTCATAGTTACCCTATAACAGGGTAGAACTGTCCCCATGAGTTTTGTAGACTGTAACTGTTTACGAGTAGAAATGTCTGTCTTTCTCCCTCGGAGCAGCTGGTGGGTTTGAACTGCTCACTTTGCGATTAGCAGCCTAATAGGTAACTGCTATGCTACCAGGGCTCCTGAAATCTCTGCTCCAAACAAACAAACTCACAGCCATCAAGTCAGTTCTGACTCACAGCAACACTATAGGACAGAGTAGAATTGCCCCTGTGGGTTTCCGAAACTCCCAATGCCCTACTAGGCTTCCTTATTTATACTTCACATAGGATAACTAGTATAACTTTGAATTCTTGGTATTATTGCTGGCTCAAAGCTAAAGGGGATCAGATTTATAAAAAGCATAGTATGGACATTTCTTTTTTTAATCATTTCATTGGGGGCTCATACAGCTCTCCTCACAATCCATCCATCCATTGTGTCAAGCACATTTGTACATGTGTTGCCATCATCATTCTCAAAACATTTTCTTTCTACTTGAGTCCTCGGTATCAGCTCATTTCCCCCTTCCCCCACTCTCCCTCCCTCATGAAACTTTGATAATTTATAAATTATTATTTTTTCATGTCGTACACTGACCTTCACCCACTTTTCTGTTGTCTGTCCCCTAGAGAGGGGGTTATATGTAGATCCTTTTCTCTCCTTACCTTCCCCTTACCTTCCTGGTATTGCTACTCTCATAATTGATTTTTTTTTGATGCACATAGGTGTCTAATTTTTCAAAGGCCTCACATTTCTAAGGTACCCTCATGGTGCACTTGGCAGTTAACTGCAAAGTTGGTGGTTCAAAGCCACCAGCTCCGCTTGACATGAGAAATGTGTGGCACTTCCCTTCGGTAAAGATTTTCAGGCTGGGAAATCCCACATAGGGTCGCCAGAGTCCATTAACCTATAGGAACCCAGAGGCATATAGGTTCTGATTTGTATGTTGGAATCCATTCGATGGCAGTGGCTTGGTTTTTTGGCTTGGTGGTCCATACCATTATGTGTTTAGCTGCGGACTGAAAGGTGGATCATTGGAACATACCCAGTGGCTCAGTGGAAGAAAGGCCTGAGATCTGCTTCTCTAAAGATGTAAACCCCAAACCAAACCCTGGTCCTGGAGTTGAGTCTGACTCATAGCAAGCCTATAGGCCAGAACAGAGCAGAACTGCTCCTGAAGGTTTCTGAGACTGTAAGTCTTTAAGGGAACAGGCAGCTTCATCTTTTTTTGGAGTCATCAGTGGATTTAAACTGCCAACCTTGCTGTTATCAGACCAACACTTATCCTACCGTGCCACCAGCACTCCTTGTAGGGCCAAGAAAATGAGACTGGGCCGCGCTACTCGGTGAACACATTGGTTCACTGTGAGTCAAAATCAACTGGACAGCACCAGTGACATGGATGCGTAAATGACTATGGAAAAGCCTCCAGGAGACAGTGCAGATGTTTTCACAGCAGCTAATGTTGCACAGTGGTGCCAAACTATATGGACAAGTGAGGCACGACTAGTAGAAAAGTGGACAATTCTAATATTTTTCAAATATACAGTGGCTTCCATTTCTACCACCATGTGTGGATTCCCCTGGCTAGGGCTCCACTCTGACTTGTGCCAGGGACTAGGTGTGACAAGTTCTCACGTTTCTCCTTTCTATTCAAGTTCATTGCCTCCGCCTTTGAAAGGAAATTCATGGATGCCCCTAATTTTCAATAGGTTCAGAATCATTTGCATTTGAAACTGACTGCTTTATTTCTTTCGAAAAAACAAACAAAACAAAACAAAACACTTGTTGCTGCCCAGTTGATTCTGACCCGCAGTGAGCCCTTCCCATAGCACAGACACCAGGGCAGTGAGTTTTGAGTACGCTTTACACAAGCCGAGGGCCAAGTCTTTCTCTGAAGAACCGGGGGGAGGTTTGCACTACCCACTTTTCCGTTAGCAGCTGAATGAATGCTTAACGGATGAACCACCAGGGTTTCGTACTTGAAATATAAAAGACTGGCAATGCCCAAAGTCCCCTGAGAGTAGACATTTTGAACAGAGGTTGTCAGGTGATTCTCCTTAGAGATTGTAAACCAGAAGGACATTTTTGGTTGTTTTTCTTTGGGGGTAGTAGGAGGGGGAGGGAAGGGTGGAGTAAATGATTGTTTCCTGAGGTTTCAATTTGAGCGATTGAAGCTAATGTTCCACAATGGTGCCAAAATATATGGACAAGGGAGGCAGGTCTAGTAGAAAAGCTGACAATTCAAATTTATTTTTTTAAACACAATGCTTGAGAAATCTCTCCATGAAAGCTTCTTTACAATGGTGTTTGAAAAAAAAAATAAAACAGTGTTTGATGAGGTCTACACGTCACTTGAATGGACAACGAAGACTTCTTCAGGAAGCCATCCATGTGTGAAGCTGAATAATTTCTGAAAGACAAACGGAAGTATGATTTACAGCCATATGGCAGCATTTTGATGTCTTAACATCTGAGGTCCCTTCAGTTTATTGGGAAATTTGGAGAAGACCTCAAAAAGAGACAGTGTCACAACAAACAGGCTGTCCCAGGGAAGCAGCCGTGCTTCCCACTCACTGCCACATTTGATTAAGACTTATTTGACGAATTCCTTTGGGGAAGTCCACGGGCCTGGTGGGCAAATGGAATTGTACAGAGTTACCATCCGGTTGTTTTCCTCTTTTGACACTTGTCTGGTGATTACTTTAGTTGCATTTTCTTGTCTTGCATCCTGACAAACTACATCCTCAGAAGAACTGCAGTGCTAGGGATTGTGTGTGTGGCTTTTTCAGACATCTACTTCGCCTTCTTCCTTTAGACAAGCAAGTTTTAAAAGACTATTGTCCAGTCTCTACTCACCCTTTCTTTGTCATAGTAGAGGCTGATCTGTGGGATTCCCAGCATAGTTTTCTTATAGGAGGAGAATTTTTGAAAAATTGGTGAAATGGATGTGAGCGATCAGAAATTTTCCACCAAGTTTAAAAAAATAGTTTTGATATAAAATTCACACACCATACACTTCCATAGTTAAGAAGCTTTTTAAAAGCGTTGTCTATACATCATCCCAGTCAGTTCTACTGCTCCCTCTCCCTCCCGCATTCATTGTTTGCTCCCTAAGTCCCTTCATTCTCTCTGCCCTCATTCCCAATAAGCCATTACATCGGTTATTGTCTCTGTGCATCCACTCCTTCTGTCCAGTCATAAACTAGGATCCCTAAAAAAATAATAAAAAATCAAAAATCAAATGAAACAGAAAAAAGAAAAAAATATAGAGATAAAAGTAAAGAATAAGAAAGAAAAGACCACCAGCAATATTTAAAAAGCCAGAGAAGAAATTTCTGTCTCTGCCAATGTTTTGAAGCTCTCTCTTATGTATATGGAGTCTTCAGGTGGCACAAACAGTTGAGTCACTCAACTGTAAATGGAAAGGTGGACAGTTCAAACCCACTTGGCGGTCATCAAATGAAAAACCTGGAAATCGATATCTGATCAGCCTGGAAAAACTGTATAGAGTGCAATTCTACCCTAACACACATGGGCTCACCGTGAGTCAGGATAGACCCCATGGCTGCTAGTTTATACACACACATGTACATACATAGGTTGTAATTACTGTTAACGGCGAGCTGATCCCCATAGAGATTTTCAAGGTTGTCATTTTTTTTTAAGACTGACATCTTTTCAGGAGCAGATAGCCGAGTCCTTTCTCCCTCAGAGGTGCTACTGGATTTGAACCACCAACTTTTCGGTTAGCAACCGAGTGCCTAGCCACTTTATCACCTGGGACCCTTCTAGATGCACATGTATAAAGTTTATGCTTCCATAGACCAGAGAAGCCTATGACTTACATAGGATGCATATGAGAGATATAGTGCATAAGTGCATCTATGACATAGATTTACATGAATGTGTATACATGGAAAGTCTGTGTCTGCCTGTGTGTGTATACACATGCAAGCCTCATACTTAGATGTATTATAAATAGCTGATGGGCATTATAGACCTTACATCTCTCTTTCTGGAGCAGAAAAAGTGATTCTTCTTTATTGTGTCTATTGTAGGAGATTGTTTTTCCTGTTGGGACCGTAAAAGGCATTCCTTCCAGACATAATAACTTTATTCCAAAAGGCACAGCCACAATAATAAGATGTTCATACTAAGAATATTGATCACAAATTTTCAGGCAGCATGCCAAACTGAAAGGACTGCATGGCTGGCCCTGGCTGGGCAGCCCCCGCCCTGTGGGCGGCGTGGAAAGCTGGCATCCAGGATACCGACCCAGCCTTGCCCTGTAGCAGCAAAAGTGCAGAACCTGGTGCCCAATCGGTGGGCTATTCAGTGGATGTCGACCTGCCCCTAGCTGCCTTTTTCAGTTGGTTACAGTTGGTGTCGAGTGGGCGGGGGGACAGGGCAGTCCCAGTGTGGTCCGTGGAAAAGGCAGCGGGGGAAGCAGAGGGAGTCTGGAGGCTTCGACTCAGCAAGCCCAGCTGAGTGGACGAGGTGGAGCTGGCCTTCCTGGAATTGTCGGGTCGATTTTCCTGTTGTGTTTCGCTGTTGACGTGCTCACAGACACAGGACTGCTCCAGTCTGCCTGCCACTCATCATCTGGGCTCAGTGGCTTGACTGTCGTTTCTTGGGTCCTCTGCCTCTGCCTACGGCGATGTTTCTTCAAAAAGAACTAGGGTGCAGCCCATTGGTGGGTATTCACGCCGATCTCTTTCTAAGAATCTAGGCAGATGCTACGCTACGAGAGCAGTTAGGGATCCAAGTATTGAGTGCTTCCTGTTTTTCCGGGGTTTATCGGTCTTTCGATAGAACAGATTGCTCTGTGGAGGCTGCTGATATTGGTCTCCTCACTGCGAAGAGAGAGGGGGCTAGTGCCTGGTTCCTCCAGAAAGCAGGGCTGTGTGGTCGCGTTGCCATTGGCATCTTTTTGCTTGTCTGCTCACAGAAATGAACCCCCAGAAGGTATTATTTAAGCCTTCTGTTCAGTGAATTCGGAATACTGAGTTTCAATTAAAATAACTAACCCGGGTGGTCCTGCTCCCATTCCTCCCTCCCCCTTAGTTTTTATCAGGAAAGTGTTTCTATCCCTAAAGACGTCTGCCGGGCTTCCAAGTGAATTTTTGCCTGCATGTTCATTCATTGTTAATCAGGTTGCGTGGGCAGGTGAGCGTGTGATTATTTTAAAGATGGTGTTAGAGATCCAATAACTAAGAAATGAGTGGGTTCTAGACAGACGTGGAAATACCGAAAACCCTTTGTTAACCGTTTCATTCAACAGACTCAAATTCCACCAGGTTGATTGACGTTTGGTGAAATTCAAAAGTCTTACATGGTTCTCCAGTACTCGCTTGCATGGCACGTTGTTCCCTAATTTTTATTGTGCTAATGAACTATTTTCAAACTCAAGGCTGGTGCCACAGTGCTTATAAGCTGATCTCTTGTCCCGTTCTCCTTCCTAATCATTCCTTCTGGTTCCCGAATATTAGTTGCCAGGAACTGGCAGAAATTCTTAGTCATTTGTTCCCATAAGTGACAGCTGTTGAGTGGGCTGAGAGTCAGTGTTTGGCCTCACTGATATTTCAGAGGTGTTACCTGTAGAAGATTCTGGAGCACCTTTCTGGTCACTTGTTTCTGCTTAATGTATGATTACTACTGTTGCTATAGGAATCACTTAGGAGTCTTGGGTGGCACAGTGGCTAGGTGCTCAGCTGCTAACCAAAAGTTGGGCAGTACAGCCCACATCTCTGAGAGAGAGAGAGAGAGAGAGAGAGAGAGAGAGAGAGAGAGACGAGGCGATCTGCACCCTAAATATTATAATAGCCTTGGAAACCCACGGGGCCAGTTCTACTCTATCCTCGAGGGTCAATGTGTGTTGGAATTGACTGTGGGGAGTGGAGAGTGGGTTTGGTTTTGAGAATCTCTGAAGCATCTTTGCTACTTTCTTGGGGTGAGAAAGAGTGTACATTGTGGTGTGACCTTCTAGCCTTTCTGAATGCTGCTGATTGACGAGATTTGACTCTGTTTATTTAATTTCTTGGCCATGTTTGTTTCGGATATCCCTGGGTTAGGCTGCTAACCACATGGTCAAGGGTTCAGACCCACCAACTAACTGTTCTGTAAGCACAAAATAAGATTGTCCATTCCCGTAAAAATTTACAGTCTCACAAACCATTGGGAGCAGTTAGTTCATGCTGCCCTGGAGGGTCGCTGTGATTCGAAATTGACTCCGTGGCAGTGGATTTCGTTAGTTTATTTGTTTGTTTTGCCTGCTCCTCCAATCAGCGAGAGCACACTATTCAGTATTGTGAGTTTGGGGTGGTGTGTAGTGTGTTTCTTCCGTAGTCCTTATAAATCACACCTTAAAACCCGTGATTGACTGTGTAGATGCCGAGTGCCTGCATTATATTATTCGAAATAGTGGCGGTGACTTCAGCTTGGAAGAAAGTATCTCATTTTAGTTGTGTTTCTCTAGTATCATTTTCTCAACAAGTGGAGAGATTGTGTTTATTTGAGATGAGAGCACTTTCCTGCTGAGTTCAGTGAGCCTGTTGTGTCTGTCCCCCAAACCAAAGTTGACTGCCTGGGATTCCAGCTCAATAATGGAGTTTTCTGAAACTATTTCTGCTGATCCAAGATAGAAACATCATTTCCCAGGTCTTGGAAATGCTCCACCTATGGTGGAATAGGGAATCTTGGTGACGTAGTGAGTTACCGGTTGGGCTATGAATTGCAAGGTCAGCTGTTCTAAGCTACCATCCCCTCCACAGGAGAAAGAGGCATGATAGCCTCGGAAACTCAGGGATTCGCCCTCCTCTTTTCTAGAAGGTTGCCAGAATCCATGTGACAGTAGGTTTTTTGTTTTTGCTTTTGGTATCATAGATTAAGAGTTTGCGGTGTAGTTGGTTAAGCCTTTGGCCGCTAACAGCAAGTTGAGCAGTTCAAACTCACCGATACCTCTGAGGGAGAAAGATCAGTCTGTCTGCTCTTATAAAGATCTATAAAGTCTTGGGAACCCAAGGGAGCAGTTATGTCTTGCCCTAAAGGGTCTTTATGAGTTGGAATAGACTTGATGATGGTTATAGATATCGATAAAAGGGACAGTCTCATACCCAAAATACCAACAACGGTGTAAAACAGTCCCCTAAATCTTACCTGTATGAAAAGAAGGGTATAGGAAGTATGGCTGTTTAAGTCAGTGGACTTGACCATGTTTCTGAAATTGATGACGCTTGCAAGTAAATATATTTATAGCATTTCCAATGTGGTTTTCAAATTATGGTATTTTTAGGATTTTCCTTTTCCAAAGGCTTTCTTTTGGGATTTTGGCATATCGTTGTGTCATTTTGACAGTGCATTTGTCATCTCAGGTTAGATTTTGACCAATTTAACTTCAAACTTGATTTTCATACTGGAGGATATTGGGGTAGAAATGGGAGGACACGTCCTGAGACCCAACATGGCAATGACTCAGAGCCACCTGGAATTGATCCTTGGCTATTAATTTCTTTGCTAGTGAAGGCTTTCAGAGCCGTGCAAAAATGAGGGACAAAAAGTAAAAATTTTAGTGGGTAGAACACAGGCTCTGTGATTAAAAAAAAATCATTTTATTGGGGGCTCTTACAGCTCTCCTAACAATCCATATATATATTCATCGTGTCAAGCACATTTGTACATATGTTGCCATCATCCTTTTCAAAACATCTTTCTATTTGAGCCCTTGTTATCAGCTCTTCTTTTTTCCTCCCCCTTCTCCCACCCTTCCACCCTCATGAACCCTCGATAAATTATAAATTATTATTTTCATATCTTACACTGTCTGCTATTTGCCTTTACCCACGTTTCTGTTGTTCATCACCCTGGCGGGGGGAGGGTATATGTTGACCATTTCGATCGGTTCACCCTTTCAGCCCCCACCTTTCCCCTACCGTCATAGAATAGCTACTTCCATTATTGTTCCTGAGGGGTTTATCTATCTTGGATTCGTGTGTAGAGAGCTCTTATCTATAACAGTATATATGCTCTGGTCTAGCCAGATTTGAAAGGAAGAACTTGGGTCATGATAGTGGTGGGGGGCGGGGAGGAAGCATTAAAGAACTAGCGGAATATCGTATGTTTCGTCGGTGCTATACTGCACCCTTCCTTGTAACCCTTCTGTGAGGGGATGTCCAATTGTTCACAGATGGGCTTTGGGTTTCCACTCCCCCCACCCCCGCCCCTTTTTTGCAGAGATATGATTGTTTGTTTTGGGTCTTCTGATGCCGGAACCTGATCCTGTCGACAGCTCATGATCACACAGGCTAGTGTGCTTCTTCCATGTGGGCTTGTTGCTTCTCTGCTAGATGGTCTCTTGTTTATCTTCAAGCCTTTAAGACCCCAGATGTTATATCTTTTGATAGCCAGGCACCATCAGCATTCTTCACCACATTTGCTTATGTACCCATTTTGTCTTCAGTGATAGTGTCAGGAAGGTGAGCATCACAGAATGCTGGGTTATTAGAACAAAGTGTTCTTGCGTTGAGGGAGTACTTGAGTAAAGGCCCAATATCCATCCATCTGCTACCTCAATATTTAACATATATGTACATAGATCTATGTCCCTATTGTTATGTATAAATATATTTACATGTGTACGTGCCTGTATTTAGACCTCTATAAATCTCCTTTGCTTCCTAGTTCTTTCCTCTATTTCCTTTTACTTTCCTCTTGTCCCACTGTCATGTTCGACCTTCATTCGGCTTTCACTAATTCCTTTAGGCTACATTGCACTTGATCAAGCCCCACTAGCCATTGTATGCCCTCCTTGCCATTGATTTTAGATCACTTGTTCCCTTGTCCCTGGGTTTGTTGGCTCCTCACTTCCCCACTTCCCCCTCTCCCATGTCCCCCCGGAATCATTAGTTCTGTTGTTTTCTTTTTTACATACACCATATTAGAAGAAGAATTACTTTTCACAGAATATGTAGACATAATGTAGAATACACTTAGGGGAACATCAAGAGTTGGGTTACGTTGTTATAATGTCAATGCTGAAACCAGAAACTTGGAATCAGAAAATCAAGGATGACATGATGACAATTGCATGTCACCTTATTCTAAAGTAGTGGTTCTCAACCTTCCTAATGTCATGACCTTTTAATACAGTTCCTCATGTTGTGACCCCCCCCCACCATAAAATTATTTCGTTGCTACTTCATAACTCCAAATTGTTACTGTTATGAATTACACGACCCTGTAAAAGGGTCGTTCGACCCCCAAAAGGGTTGTGGCGACCCACAGGTTGAGAACCACTGTTCTAAAGGGTATTTGAACCCATGGAAGCCATTTGGTTTAGAGACTCCTAATTCTTTAGTTTATTATTTAACAGTTTTCTTGGTATATAATTCATATATTGTACAACTCACTAGTTCAGTCACATCACGAAGAGTTGTACAATCATCACCACAATCAATTTGGGAACATTTTCACTCTTGAACTCAACCTCCCCTGCTATACACCCAATGGACTAGTAATCCAGTTAATTTCTCTCTAGATTTACCTGACAGTAACATTTCCCCCCCCTCCAATAGTTTTCTTGATATAAAATTCACATATTATACCCTTCCACAGTTAAATCACTTTAATAAAGCGTGTGTATACATCATCACAATCAGTTCTAGGGCACCCTCTCCCATGATGCTTTCATTATTTGCT